AAATAAATCTGTCTAAGTCTAGCAGGATTTTCTGACCCTGATTTGTCTGAAGTTTTTGTAGTGCTTCTTTTCAACCACTTGGGGGCGACATAACCAGCTTTCAATTCCACCGGCAGAGAACAATCGACGTCACCACGGAAGCTGAACCGAGCAGCACACATCCTCCAGTAGCTGCTGTTTGGTCTGTTTGAAACAAAGGTCAGCAGTCAGAGGGAGGGAGAGAGAGACGGAAAGCAGCAGCGTCAGGCTGTTAGTGAATGGAAGCGAACGAGGTTTTTTTTTTCTAACGTAACTGTGGATGTTTGGCCTGTCAGAGCCGGAGGGACGCTGCGGTAGAGTGGAGTTGACGTCAAAGCCTGTTCTGTGACACCATCACAGGGTAAGCTAACAATCACCGGAGCTAATGAAGAAGAACAGGAGCTAGTGGTCCTGACCCGAGCTTATTACTAGTTAATTGCGTTTTAATTACATGCTAACCAGAGAAGAATACAATAATTACGTAACGAAGAAATACAAGACTATTGGTTAACTAAAGGAGTAAGCCTAACGGGCATCGTTAGTTCTATTGATGCTATTCTCATTATTTTTGCTGTGATGATGAAGGAAGGCAGTTACTCTGAAAGTTTGTGCTCACATTTAAAATATCACACACATATCTTCCAGTCACTCTATTAAAGCATTAGGTGAGAAATATAGAAACAAAAAACAGAAATGTTAAACAGAGGAGAATAACAATCCACTTATTTTCTCTTAAGAATGACTGACATTCGCTTTATTTTTTGCTATAAGTTCAAATGGTCTGTTTTAAAGAAAAAAATGTTACAGGCAAAAGATCAGATGGTGGAAGGGTTTGTAAAAAAAAAGTCAAAATAGAATGCCGCGTTATTAAGAGAAGACATTAAATTAGAAATTGAAAACAACAGCAACAAAGTAATGTATTTGGGGAATAAAAGAAAACAAAACAGTCTAAAACACTTCTCTGTGAATCTAAACAGTACAGAATAACATTCGCATGTATGTTTAAAACACCACTAACTTTGAGATTAAATGCATTCAAACTCTGCATGCCGGTAATATATTTGGCTAAATGAATAAGCTATGGTGATACCTCTTTGTGTGGGAAAATAAAATGAGCAAAAAAGGCTTCAGTGATGCTTTAACGCACCCAAGACTTGGGCCTCCTTTAGCAGATACCCTGCTGTGACCCTGACCTTAGATGACATTGGTGTCACTTAAGCAACCAGGTTGTCTTTTGACTCCCCTCTTCAAAGTCTGCCACTTGTGTTCAATTCAATTCATTTTATTTAAATAGCACAATTCACAACATATGTCATCTCCAGGCACTTTACAGTTCACCAGATCATCCAGTCAAACTGAATTAAAGTTTTCTATCTAAGGAAAACCAGTTGATTGCATCGACTCATTGACTCAAATGCAATCCCTCTCATGAAGCATGCTTGTAGCGACAGTGGAGAGGAAAAACTCCCTTTTAACAGGAAGAAACCTCCAGCAGAACCAGGCTCAGTGTTGTGTTTGTGTACCTAATATAATCCATCAGCAGTATTTCCTGTTCAACCACTTACTAATAAAAGGAAGTGGTTGAACTGCCACCAATTCACAAAACACTCTAGTGCTGTCACCTTCATCCGGGTTGTGTTCTGTGAAATATTTTGCTGATGGCTTGGGATAGAATGAGGCCTAAGGTGGAATGTTTAGAGAAAAGGAAAAGAAAGTCCCCTGCAGGGCCAATGTAGTTATCAGAGAGAGTTTGACGTCTTCTGCTAAAGTTGACAAAGAGTGATGGAGCCCAGAGTTCTTGCCTGCTCCTGGCACTCTGTAGGATTATAAACTTGGGCAAAACAACACTGTTCTCTCAGTGCTGTCAGGCTGTGGAAATGAGTCAGTACTGTGTGGCATGTAGATGATGATGATGATGATATGATGATGTCAGCTACCTTAATAGAAAACTGAAATAGATTGTTAAAAGAAAGAGCTAAACTATACTTTTGTTTTTCAAAACTTTATTTAGATAATCACGACTGACATGCCGATATAAAAACGCGGTATTTTTTAATTACTAATAAAAATATGACAAATAATATTTTTTATGTATGTATTTATAGTTAATAAATTGAATAAACAGGTAAAACGTTTGAAATATAGCAAATTAAAATGATTCCTAAGCAATAAGATTAAGGTGCGACTCAGTGGTGCTGGGTTCAAATTCCAGCCTTTGGCAGGTTCTTTGTCTGCATGTGTTTGGTCTCACCAGGTGCTCAGTCTTCCTCCCACGGACTGTTGCCTTAGCTGGTCCTCTCCTCTAAAGTGCCCTAAGGTGTGTGTGTTCATGGTTGCTTGCTCTGTGTTGTTTCTGTGTGTCGGGCTGTACAAGGCTAAGCAAAAATAAATAATGGGTTTCTGATAACAGGAAAATAAATAGATAATCTTGTTTTTATGTTTCTGTCCTGAGAATGAGGGTCAAATCATCTTGGTGGTTCATGTACATCTCTTATTGGGTTTTTCACACTTGTAAACATGAACCATAATCCTAGCAAACCCAGTTTGAATTTATAGTTTTAATATTAATTAGGAATTAAACAATTACTCATGATTATGGCTGGGTATTTTCGCCAAAGTCCTGAATCAATTCGATTTTGATTCACATTTTTTCATTCATCGATTAATTTGGATTCGATCAGTTTTTACAATAATGAAAGTGGTTCAACTGTGGTTCCAAATACCCTTTTAATTTGTATTTTTTCCTGTCACATTAAACACAAACGCAAACTTGTAAATCAGACAGTTTAAACATGAGATGTGAACAAAACTGTCTCAAAAGTGCAAACTTGTTTGTGAAAAGTGAAAAAGTGAAGCCTCACTCGAGCAAGCAGATGTGACACAGCAGACATGCATGAGCTGCATTATCTTCACTTCACAAACCATATTTGCAGCATTGTCTGTAACAACTACAGGGTGTTTGCTGGTCAGCCCCCATTTGTTAATGTCTTCAGTCTACCTATTGGCTATATTTTCAGGTGTATGGCTTAATGTAATCTTGAGTTCATATTTCCTGCTCATTTGAATGTGAACGTCATGCTATAAAACTATTTCACTATAAAGGATTTCACTATAAGGATTCACTATAAAATGAATCAATCTCATTTCATAGACATCGATTTTGCAAAAATGTAAAGGAATCGATTCAAAATCGATTAAATAGATTTTTTTACCCAGCCCTACTCATGATTAATTGATTATTGAAAAAATCATCAACCTGTTAAATAATTTATATTCCAGATTTAATAATAATCTGGAATATAAAAACTGTAAAATGTGCATTTAAGCTGATAGAGCGACCCACATTGGGCTCAGAATGAAATATGTAAACATTTTGCATTTAAGATTAAAATCATTTTCCTCTGTCAATATGCTCTTTCCAGAACTCCTCAAGTGGAAACCTTTTAGTTTCCTCAGGTTTAATCTAGCAAAAAAAAAAAACTCTCCTTTAAGGAATCTTTGGCTATCCGATTATTAATAGGTGAATTAAAAAAATAATCGACAGATAAATCGATTTGCTAAATAATCATTAGTTGCAGCCCTATTATTAATCATGATAGAGGTTTTTCAGATTTTTTCTGGACTGTTAAGTTAGTATTTTAATGTCTTACTTTAACTTCCATGATTTTGAAGCTCATACATGTTGCTTTCCTCTTAAAGCATAATTTTAAACACCTGACATAGCCTCTTTAAAGCCATACATTACTGCTTGGCTGTATTAAAGTAGCCCAAGATTTGGTTAAGGTGCAGGGGTACATGTTAGTGCTTATTCTGTGGCTTCCAGTACCTGGGTGCTCTGATATCAGAGTCCTTCCTTTAAACCATTAATTTTAAGTTGGACAGGAGTTAGCTGTTTGCCCAGGATGAGTGGAGGACGTCAACAATGAGCTCGGTGAACCAACATCATGCCCACAACCATCTCTCTCTCAGCTAATGACAGGCTTTGCAGGTGGGATGGGCTGAGAAATGAGGGAACAATAATGATAGGTTTCAGGTTTAGGTTGATGAATCAGTTTGTAGCTCAGACTGGTGTCCCCCCTAGCTGCATATAAAGCTGAATGTGAAGCCTTCAGTGGATAAGTGGTGATCGGTTTGCTGGAGAAGACTTCCACGGGGTATGAGGGAGCTCATGAGGAGGTGCTGACTTTCCTGTTTCCATGCTTTAAAGGTATAGTAAGATGATAAGGAATATTATTATGGATGCAACAGACCGGCTTCCTTTGGCTTTCTTTGACTTCTAAGATTAGGACTTTGATTTCTATAAGAATTATATGACAGAGAAACATTTATCTACAAAGTTTGTTTAGTTAAAAAAAGATTTTGAGCATAAAAAAAGATGGTTAAGCCCCCACTGTTACTTTAAGTTTAAGCTTTAATGTCTTTATTGATCAGGTTGAAAATTAATTGGTTAATGTATTAGAGTCGGCCTGTCTAATACTGCTTGATTATGAGGAAATAATCATATTTAAGGCATTTTTTGTCAATATAAGAATCACATTTATTTGACATGTAAGTTTGGATCATGCTTCATTTTTTTGCTAAAAAAATCTATGATTTTGAAATATTCAACCAATTCTGATGTTGGCAGTTGTTTGGATATGAAAATAAATTTGAGATACAAACTTATTTAGAAACACAGAAAGTGTGAGTTTGCAGCTTTAAATGTCTCTAATAAACATGGGAGAAACATCAGCTTTCAGGGTCCATTGAGAGAAAACAGCTAATTGTTAAATTATGTATATTTATTTTTGTCTTGGAGGAGCAATTACATGTCATATGTGTAAGAATAAATTAAATAAAAATCAAGGGTTCCTACATTGTAAGTAGCCAGACCTAAAAAGTAAGTTGATTAACTAAAATAAAGATAAATCAAAATTTAAATTAAGTACTTAGCAATTAGTTTCAAGTAACGATTGGTGTGCAACTATCTTAAAGTAAAGCTGTGTGAATCTGCTCTAATCAATTGATTCTTTGTCTGAATGAATGCTTAAACATTTGTGACGAACCCTGATAAAACAGATTAAACAGAGGTAGACCTTCTCTATATTTGTGCCAGACATGTTGCAAGGTTGTCTGCTTTTCTTTTTACTATTTTTTCATCCTTAGAGGACACCTAATAATGGGACAATGAAAGACATTTAAGCTAAAATGCTCAAAACAATATTTTGACTACAGACACATTTTAAAAATCCCTTTATGATGCTTAATACAATGGAGATGGAAGCTGAAGATGGCTGAAATGATTTCCTTAAGCTGCAAACATTCAGAAATGTCTGACATTTTAAAATTTTGTAAGGCAGCAATTTGTTAGTTTGAAACAAT